ACGTGAAATCATTCTTTTAATCCATCAGAGAGCGGCGTTCCCTCGGTGAAAGTTCTGCATACAGCACGGTCCCCGGTTATTAGGCCCACCCAATCAGTGCTTAATCGTGACCTAACCTCCAGCGCGGACCGCTTTGGGAAGCGCATCGAGCCGAGGGGGCCAAGAAGGTCAAGCTTAGCCCTGAGACGCTGAACCTCACCTTATCGCGCTCCCTCGTCCGGGTGGCCTACTCGGCCTTAATTGCGGGCCCATATCACGATCCAATATGGCCGCCCACCGCGAGTATTAGACCCTATGGCAAACGTCAATGTCCGCTTTATGTAAGAAATACGGTATATCGTGCATCGGCCGCGCGCGCACTTCATCAAGGACAGCCAACCAACGATAGACACAGAAATTACAATTCTCTCTCAGGTGTCTCATCGGTACGCGTTTTGCAAAATGATCCAGATAGTGTTTAAGAAATGTCTTCGATATGATTTCGTACGAGAAAATGTATTGAAAACGTATTGTTGAAAGTTTATGCTAGAGTATCGATAACGGAAGAAAGGAGTCAAGGAACGCGGACATTTTGGATAAGTGGACGTAGAATTCAGGTAAAAATTTGGTATATTATTTGTATAGAATTTAAAGCGAATCATCTCATCATTCGAGTTCCCTGTCCCCCCTGGACACAAAAATATCTTTACTTAGAGATCGTACATACATCGTTTCTACATTTGGAATGATTAAGAAAGTAATTTAATTGAAGTTTATTTTCAGTTCCAAGTTTTGAAAGTTTTCGATTAAGAAATGACCCGGTTGACACTTCCAAGATTGACTTACTAGGAAGTTATTTCAAGAGTCGTTCTAGCCATGTTACTGCTGATCATCATCTTTATTATTATACTTTACGTTTAACCAGAGAAAACTTTCATGTGATTTAACGTCTTTACAGCGCGATAGTGGAGGCGTGCCATCAGTCATTTCAAGGATTTGTCCTCGACTCGAAATTTACTTCGGGAGTAAACAAATCATTGGAGCTTGGACGCATCCAGCGTTAATTTATCGACGTTCCGTACGATAGAAGTAATCTCGGAAGCAGGAGAAAAAACGCGGCGGGGTTCAATGGGAACAGCAATTTCATTTGCAGTACATCATTCCTGGCTACCCACGATATAATGTAATCTACGCGAGGAGAAGATCGCATTCGAGATAAACGGTGAGCTCGATCCTTACCTCGGTCTCAGTTTCCGGGCAAAAATTGAATGGCTTCACGATTCACGGCTTGTCCGGCCGGTGTCCATTCATTTTTCATGTTTACCAATTCGCTCGAGGATGTCTTTCTCCCTCGTTGGAAAATCGGCGTCCGCCGGTTCATTTATCATAAAACGTGACTCGTCTCCCGTGCGTCGCGCGTTCTCGGTAACACGCCTTTGAAAAATGATTCTTATCTATCCGTTTTGTGGCCCCTGTACGGCGCGCAGCACGGCTGTTCGTTTCACCGTTCGTTCTCTATCAGCGATCAGGTAGCAGCGAGTGTCTCAATCTGCCTCTCTCTCTCTGATCGCCAAGAGAGCAGGTCCCACTCCCTGAAGGAGGAACAGAGAGGTGCTGCTCTGCAGCGCACAACCGCCGATCGAAGCCACGACGTACGCGTGACCCGTCACTTTTCCAGATCGGTAACGCCGATTTCTGGGCCCCGCCACAAAGTTTCCACTTGCACGTTTCCTTTTCTTTCTTTCGTTCAGGTAGCCAAACCATTAGTCTCGATGTAATATTCTCGATGGCGTGCCGATCTGGCATAACCGTTTCCCGAGGGACGATATATAACCGATCTTTCGGCTGAAAGCAATCCGCGTCTGTCAACGTTCGACGTTCTTATCGGTGACGTGATTAATTATTTCCACCGGTTGGAACCGATGCTACTTGCCGACCGTTTCTTCATTCCCCGTTCGCTTCATCATCCGCGGGACGTCCGACCGGATCGAGCCGTCGATTTCCGTTCGGCCTTTCAGGGTCACCACGCTCCATAATCTTCGTCGATGATCGTTGATCTCTTTCGATCGCCCCTCCTCGACTCGCCTTCATCGCTTCCGCGGCTCGATCTTCTTCGTCTTCGTATATGCATATACGCGTGCTCGACTCGCTATGTCGGCCAACGAGATACAGCGATTCCCGCGGAATCTGCATTCTCCAACTTGCGCGAGCGTGAGTCGTAGAAACGAGAGAGATAATGGAATTAAATTGACGAACGCAACACCTTGTTGCAATATGGGACGATCTTAACGAATCTTAACGATCGATCGGAGTAACGCGAAGCGATAATTACACGTACATACGTAGCTGCGCGTCGATCGACTAGCTGAATAAATCGATGCTGGACGAGCAAGTCCTTTGAAAAGTTAATTCGCTGGATTCTATCGACGTGTGAGAGTTAAACTATCATTACGCGTGTCATCGTATTGTGGCTGATGTCCAGGATAACGAGTACCGTGCGTCTTGTAACACGATCGTTATCGATTCTCTTCCCGAACGAACGCACGCGAGTCAACAGGACGATTAACTCACACGAGTATCATGCGAAGGTAACAGATAATTTCTCGTCACTTTTTTACGTTCCCTTTGGGATTTGGCGTGGCCTGTTCGTCTTCGGAACATTGTTGGCCATCGATTATCGGTTACCATTGCCATTACCATTAGAAGACCTGGTTTCTGATTATCTTTTCTCCATTTATGCTCCTTCGAGTCCCAGACCTTTCGTGACTGCCCGTTGTCGAACGTAACTAGTTCGAAATTACTATTCAAGGGTGCCATTGATGTATCTCAAGGTGGAAGCCAAAGTGTCTCCTTCTTCTTCTTCTTCTTCTTCTTCTTATCAATGTCAGTCAACCATCTAAAGCGATGACCCAAAAGCTCAGGTATAGATATAATCATCGAGTGTCATCGAGATGTCGAAGCGATTCGATCTGAAGTAATGAGGTCCAAGATTCTGTTCGGACACACGCACACCTGTGCAACATATCGGCTGCGTAATTTCGGTACAACAGGTACCGGGTATCATCGTTGTTCCATCATGTTCCATGATAACCGGTCATCCCGTGCGAACATCCACCATGACCTGATCGTCACCACCACCATTACTACCACTACTACCACCACCACCACTACCACGACCACCACCACTACCACCAGCGAGCAGCACCGTCGTCGAACACGAAGCTCTCCAAGCTTTTCCCTTGACACGCGTGTGTACACCAAGGAATCGGTCACTACGAGAAAAGGTGGACGTGGAACGGGAAAAAAGGGGGGAATTGAAGGCCCCGGTGCAGCTGCAATTTCGCGTGCTGCACGCATGTCGAATAGCCAAGAGGGGCGATCAAGGCAAACGCACCCTGGAGGACTGGGCGACGAGAACAAACTAGCCTCCGAGCATTGGTGGCCGTTCCGTTCGCTTCTCGGCGGCCTCTCAGAGAGCCGAAGAGAAGTCGCCCGGTTATGGCTACGCCTGCTACGCCAGAAGAGGCGGTTAACGAGTCTAATTAGCGACGAAAACGAAAACGAGTTTGACCCTTTTTTCTCTCTTTCCCTCTCTTCTCCGTCCGGCTTCGCCTTGTCTTTCTCCCTTAAACTCTTTCCCTCTCTCTCTCTCTCCCTACTCCAACCCTCCGTTTCTCTCTCTCTCTCTCTCCACTCTTTGCTCCCTTTCCTTCTTCTCTCACAGACTCCCAGGCTCTCCGTTGATTCTTCTCCTCCATCCTTTTCTTACCCTTCCTTCCTTCCTTCGCTCCTTGCTTCTCCCTTCGACTCTTCCTCTCTTCCTTCCTTTCTTCGACGTTCCACTCTCTTTCACCTTCCGCCTTCTCCCGCTGTCTGCCTTCCTTCTGCATCCGTCTATCCCCCTTTCTCTCCTTTTCGCTCTTTCCTCGCACGGAGCGGACGGATCGCGAACCTTACGGAGGAGCAGTCCCGGCAGCCCCCGGCGTGTCGGCTTCCTTTTTTCCTCGAGGAAACGAAATCAGGTCAGTGGGACGCGCGAAGGGAGGTCGAGACTGACGAGAGAGACTTTAATTTGCGTGCTTGCGCTGATTACGCTTAGACCCGCTCCGGCCGTCTCGTGAAATGCGACCTCCGCCGCGCGGCAAGCGCCATGCTTGCTACGGCGGCACGGAATCAGGTTTTCGACGAGCCTGAGAGACGTGCTCTTGCCGGAACCACTTCACTTGTTTGCGTCTGTTCTACGAGGATTCTCGCCACTTCTAATTGTAAGTGTAGGTCTTGGCTAAACAAGCATGCCCGTTTCCCGAGCCGGCTGCGCTCGTTCTTTTTGTCACCTTTGTTTGCCTCTCGTGCAAATTTAACACGACGCGATAAACGAATCGCACCGAAGCCGAAGCGATCGAACGTTTTTTTCTTTTTTTTTAAGATTAGACAAATAACGTGGATGAAGATTAAGGTTTTTAACACCTAATTTGCTTTGAAGTTACATGTTCGTCAAATTCGCATAATTCACCGAAATTGAATAACACTCGCAACTGATGGCAACAATACTTGAATAATTGAATAACACTGGAGAAAAACGTAAAACGATAAACGAAAGAACGAAAATCGATGATCAAAAAATTCATCGTTTAAACAGCCTGGAAACTGTAATTCACTGAAACGTTTCTTTTTCGACGAAAAAGAATGCTCAATGTCTATTTGAAAGTTCGATCTATACAGGCATGCACTTGAACGAGAGAGAAGTGGAAAAGAGAAGGTGGCGATTGGCGTCACGAACGACGGAGAGCGAGAGTAAAGACGGACGGAAGAAGACGAGAGTGGCCATTAATTAAAAGGAGTATAACGACCTTAAAACTTCGTTAGCATATCCGTGGGCGGTTTCCAAAGATATTTCGTTTGTTCGGTATTCCCGGGGACTAAACCGAACTCTACTCCCCTCCCTTTTTCCTTTTCTTTGCTCTCTTATAGAATTTTTAATTCGTCGACAGAGTTATCGTGCTTGTACCGCAGAAATTGAGCCATTCGTCAAGCTATTCGTTTCTTCTCCAGTGATTTGTGAAGCTTGAATGTAATCCCATTCGAAGAAACAACTCGAAAAAGAAGAAAGCATTTCATGAATTTTATTTTTCATTTAAACGAAGATACTCTTCTTCTCTGGCGATATTAAGTGAAGTAGCGATTTTTTATAAATTTTAGATTCAACCTTTACAATGCAATTAATTTTTTTTGACCATTCTTGAGGAATGTCAATCTCAGAAGAAAAAAGGAAAATATGTTAATTTTTTTTTTTTTTTT